GCCCAGTTTAGATGTTAATAATTAACGATGGCGATAAAGCGCCACTAACAACGGTACAAAATACGGTGGCAACTATCGGGGAATTGTCGGCGCGGCGCATCAGCATCGTGGTGAGTCTTTTAACGAGGAGAAACCACGGATCGATGCGGTTAATCCAGCGCGACGAAGACGGTATCGCCTGATTGCGGCTACGACGTCACGCGGACTGCTAAGGTACGAGCCAAGGCGAGCGAGCGGTCGACTCGGACTCGGATAGATGGCTACGGTGTGGTAACGGTACCGAATCTGCATACACCGTACCGTATACACGTTTACGCCGCGCGCACAGTCCGCGCTATCGGGGAACCGCATCATGCTAATTCGCATCCTCCGCCGGCCGTTGAGATTCTCTCGCGCGGATCGTCTCTCGCCGGGACCACGGGCGTCCCGGTTTCGCTCGCGAAACCCAGCCAGGTCGATACGCGGCTATTCCCATCTGTCCGGTTCTCTCCTCGCGGAACGCGCCGTTCCTGATGCCTCGTGGATTTCCGGAGGATAAAGGTGTTAGATATCGATGGACTAACAAATTAATAAGACGCGTGCATGCGCCTGCGGGCGAAAACGTGTGTGTATGTGAAACGAAATAAGAATATACAAGTAAACCGCATGAGATATACAATAATTAGATTCATATGCGCATATTGAATCAAATGTTTCGATTGAAAATCTCGTTTGTGAAGACAGAGATTCATCCGATCTGTAATAAATGAGAAGCTCATTTCCTTTATATTTGCTTATGCAATTACGCGCCAATTTCGCTCCCCCTTACTATTACCAATTCCTTTTCCATCGATTTGTCGATCCCCGTCGCTTTTCCGTTCCCACAAGTGCTCCTCTATGATTCTGCGTGCGCGATTACGAGGACGATCTGGAGAAGGCGGGCCGAGAGATGTCGGCAAAGGAAACGAGGAGAAAAAGGAGCGCAGAGTCGCGAGTCCCTCCGCCGATGAATCACTCGGCGGTATCGGACGATCTGGACAAGCTCACCCGCATGCTCAGAACATGTTTATCTCCGGTTTCGCGTGTCAACTTTGCGTCATTGTACGCGATTTCCCTTTCTCTCTCTCTCTCTCTATCTCTCCTCGCCTCATCGTCGATGCATCGATATCGCGGAAGTGCGGCGCCGCTGTCCGGAGCGTTAAATGGGACTTTCGTCGATCCCTCGCGCTCTGGGGGGGAGACGACGGTGGACCCTCCCGTCTGGATCCCTCATGTGGTCCCTTTCGCGAGGAAAGGTGAGAGCGGAGAGGGAATGGGACCGGGGAAACGACGGACGGTGAATAGAGGGAGAGGCGATGGGACGGAGAAGGAAGAGAGGAGAGCCCATTCCTTCGTTAGAGCCGCGGGGCGGAGGTTGGCATCCAGGCGCTTCTCAGCGGGGCGCCGTTTCTTCGAGTCTCGGCTCTCCCGAGCAGGAGAATCTCGTACGTGAAAGCCTCCCTTCCTCGCTCCTCATCTTCCTCGTCGTCGTCGTCGTCGTCGTCGTCTTCGTCTTCTTCTTCTTCTTCGTCTTCTTCTTCCTCTGCGACCGCTGCTTCTCGTCCGCTTCTCCGTTTCGCTTTTAACGTGCCACCCTCTCCTGGTCCCGCACCACCGCCCAGCCTCTCGCGAGCTAGAGCGAGTGGTCTTTCTCTCGCGCTTGCTGTCTCGCTCTCGAGTCGCTATCTCTTCCGAGAACACGAGCGCAGCATCGCGCCGCATCGGTGCGCCGTACGTACGCCCACGCGTTGTTACGAGTCGCAATTTGCCGGGGTACGTCCTAGACGGTGTTCCCTTTCGGCTGCGGGGTTTAAGTGTGCTCTCGATGCTTTCGCTCTCTCGGTTCCGCGTTCCGAAGATCGAGAGTCCTCCAGAATGTCGTCGAGGCTGCGTCCGTCCTCTTAAGGTCCGCGGTAATTTTAGTTTGCCGCTAGTGATATCGCGCAAAGAAAACGCACGAGGCGTCAAGAAGAATGAAAGTATAAAACAGATCAAACTAATCTACTACTTGCTCGTTGTTAGAAAGAAAATACAGAAAGATGTCTTATGATCTTTGCATAAAAATTCTGCGTTTAACGATATTCCGATAAAACACATGGTTCGATATCAATTTGAATATTTTGAATCTTTCCCCACGAGAAACATAGTTTTCTTCGTGGGGAAAGTACAACAAATACCAATTATCTTGCTTTATGTCCTTATAATTGATACATATTATAAATAATTGTTATCATTATATGTATGTGATATAATGTACCGGTGTAAGTAGTTATTGCAAATTTACAACTTCTAGGAAGAAGACAGTTGCGAAATTATTATTCTAGATTACGTGGAAAAATCCAACCTTGAGACACCTGAGGTTTCCACGTATCCCGCGAGCGCGCATTAAAATAATTCACATTATTCGCTTCAATAGTCGACAAGTTGAGGCGCAGATTTGCGAAGGCTCGTCGGCAGCTCGTTCCGGTCGCCGCTCGTTTTCAGCATTGTCACGCGCACGCGTTGCCCCGTCATTTGCCAATTATCGCGAGTGAAAGCACACTCGAGTAACGCGAAGTAATTGCGTTACGCGGACAGATGAGCGCAATCGCACACGCTCGCGCCGCGGACAATCGCGCAAGAATACGCGCGGTCGTTACTCAACGGAGTAATCGTGTTGTCGTCCACCACCTTCTCCTCCACTTCGCGTGTACGTGTGTGTGTAGCCCACGCGCGAAAAAAATGCGCGGCCCGGTAATAATCGCGGTAATCGCGCCCGGGGAATGCGGCAGAGGCACGTTTATAAGTACGTAACGGTTTGCAGGACATCTCGCATGATCGCGCACCGCGGAGAGGCACGATCGAGGCCCGCAGGAAGTCGCCGATCGATAGCCGAAACCGCCTCGAGAGAGACCGCGTTGCAGAGCACGAGAATCTTAATCTCGCGATTCGCTAAATAGAAGAATCGTCGGAAGAGAAATAAACGTAGGGTTAAAATTATTCAAATATAGATCTCCTCTTATGAGATAGCGGGGTCTCTGCCGAATTAACAGACCTCGTCTGTTGGTTCCACCATGAATTTATTGCCCTGGGAGTGAAATCCATTTAGTGGAGGAGTCACTGTAAGATCGTGTGATCGTCGCGAAGAAAAGATTTGTGATTGAATTTGGATGTTGAAAACCTGGCTATCTCGTATTAGAAGCCTAATGTCATACTTCCCTTTGGTACTTTTATCACGATATAAGATATCCAGATAGGCTTAAATTTTATTAAGTTCATGTAGATGGCCACGTACGCGAGTGTGCAAAGTTCGTGACGCGATAAGTTAATTGAATAGATGTATAACGTACGCCGTAACCATTTTAAAGCGAAGACCATACGCTGTGAGGAAACGTATAACGTTTTTATCAGACGTGCATACCGATTGTAACAATCATTACTCCAAATTGCACATATTGCACGCTTCTTTCCCGTCAGAAGGACGTAATACGTAATGCAGCGAAATTGCAAATTCTCCCAGTAACGCGCGTGTCTCGGCAAAAAAGGGGGTAACTAAATCCGTCGAAATGGTACGTCTAGAATTGCAGCGGGCATTAACCTCAATGATACGACGACGATGATGGGGATAATGATGATGATGATGATGACGATAATGATGGCCGGTCGATGAACCGGCACGGCCGCGCGCGCGCGCGCGGCGCTTTCGGCGAAATTTGTACGGCCGCGATCGGATCGCCGACACACACCGCGGGTGTCTCTCGGGCGATCGTATTTGCGTGTACTTGAACGCGCCGCACGTTATGGCACGTACCGCGGCGTGTATTTGCCTTTGCACAATATTTGCAGGCACTCGAGAGTATCGCCGCGAGAGACTCATCCGGGTTCCGGTACAGGTGTCGCGCCTCTCCGCGGTCGTCGCCGGTGACTTCTTGGAAGTGGCTGGCGCACGTAGCGAAGTAGTGTACGCGGGTAAACGAGCGCGTTACGTATCCCGAGCTAAATCCTCCGCTGCGAGGCACGAATTGCTCGAACGGTCTCTCCCAGCGAGACGGACCGTTAGCCACGCGGTGGTCGGCACGAGCGAAGTCCGAGGAGAGGACCCTCCGCTCGTTACGTCACGCCTGTCTGATGAGGATGATCGCCCTGGGCGACGTGGAGATTCGCGTTATAGACGCGCATGGCGCAATCCGTTCGTCAGGATTTTTGATCGCGCTGATCGAACGAATGGGCAAGAGTGCCCTTGGTGCTTGGGATATTCAAGGATAATTCGTGCGACCGCCGTTGATCTTTTGCACGTAATCAAAGTTAACGGTGCGCTCGCCCGCCTCGTATCTCTCGCGTTGACGCTGATCGCACGGAACGTCCGTATGACAATTCGTACGCGCAGATGGTGAATGGATATGCGTCTTTGAAAATGAGCTAGGCTAGGTTTAAATAGATAATATTTCAACCAGGGATTGCGTACCGAAAAGTGAAAGAGCCCGTTTCTCCTTTATGCCGGAGTCGCGAACTCGATGACGCGTGACTGCACAGATAAATCTTATTGCGCAACAGGCTTATCAGACTCCCCGCGTAACGTTGAAATTTTCCTAGAAACCTCGAGGCAGTCTAAGAAAGGGATGGATGAAGGTCACGTGTAAAACTAGGACGAGTTAAAGCGCGTTGCCGTTAAAGCGAGACGTACAATTATTTGTGAAAGCAAATAATTTGCGAAAGTTACAGTTAAACGCATACATTTTACAGAGAAAGACGTAAGGAGTGGGAGTGCCGTTGATGTATATTGTGTATTTCATCTGTCGTCTTTCATCTTTCTAGCTTTTCGTATGCAATACTTGAAGAGGTTCGAATTCCGCAAGCTCGATCGCTCCGACTAACCTGGGCCGTCTTGATCTCGCGCAGACCTCGGGACAAGATTGTACCGTGTAACGTGAAAGCGAGATCAGTATCTTAGGTAAAGGCGAGTCTTCACATTATCAAACGACGTCTCCGCTTCTGTTTTCCAGCTGTGCAGAGGGGGCGAGTGCCGCCGTCGCAACCCTCGCTGCCGGGTCTGCCGGGCCAGTTCGCCCTGACGAACGGGGACGCGGTCGCGTGTGCCAGCCTAAACGGACACTCTTACCTCTCGTCGTATATAAGCCTGCTGCTGAGGGCGGAGCCCTATCCGACCTCGAGATACGGCCAGTGCATGCAGCCCAACAACATCATGGGTATCGACAATATCTGCGAGCTCGCGGCGCGGCTGCTCTTCTCGGCGGTCGAGTGGGCCCGGAACATCCCGTTCTTCCCGGATCTTCAGGTGACGGACCAGGTGGCCCTGCTCAGGCTAGTGTGGAGCGAGCTGTTCGTCCTGAACGCGAGCCAGTGTTCGATGCCCCTCCACGTGGCGCCGCTTCTAGCGGCGGCGGGCCTCCACGCCTCGCCGATGGCGGCGGACCGCGTGGTCGCCTTCATGGATCACATCAGGATCTTCCAGGAGCAAGTGGAGAAACTCAAGGCGCTCCACGTCGACTCCGCGGAATACAGCTGCCTCAAGGCCATCGTCCTCTTCACCACCGGTGAGTCTGACATTATTTCATCGCTCTGTTCTCGGTTTAATTTAAGTTGGAATCTACTTGAATACTTATTGGGTCTGTCATAAGGTGGCACAGATTCAAGATATTAATTCGAACAATAATGCGAGCTGTTTTCTTGCCCTATCAGTTCTGAACGCGTGTGTCGTGTTTCTCCATCCGTAGACCTTTTTAACTATTTGTTACGCGTAAAAATTATCGTAAGAAAATAAGAAAGAAATCACGCGCGCAGGTATTCTACACTTTTGTTAAAAAGTCTTAGTTCCGCATTCTCTAAAAGTCACGTCGTCCGCTGGCAGTTTCTTTCAATCAAGCTTCATCAAGCCGTAGTTCTCCTCTTCTTCTCTTCTTTCGGTCGAAGAAAACAGACTCATTTAAGGCACACAACTCTGCCCCATGAAATATTATCTAGACACCACGCGACAACAGACTCGTCACGAGTTCCCTTTGAAAAACGCGTCGGAAGAACTAGAAAACCATTCGCGTTTTTTGCGTCTAGCACGAGCCGAGGGTCTCGACGACGTGTTCCCTACGCACAACGATACTTCGGTCGTCGTCCGCGTATTACCCGCGCCTGCCTGCCTGTCCCGCCTATAATCGTCATGACGATGCTATCTCGAAGACGCTCGTTGTCACGTAGCCGCGATCCTCGACGGGCCTAGAGAGGCTAGCAGCGCACCGAGAGGGACAATGCTCTTTCTCTTCCCCCGATCGCTCCAAGCCTCATGGTTCCTGTACCACATACCGGGTGGCAGGAGAGCGTGCGCCGGAAGAACTCTCCGAGCATAAGCGGAGTCGGTCTCTCTATTTCTCCCCCCCCCCTCTCTCTCTCTCTCTCTCTCGCTCTCCATGTCTCTCCAGAGAAGATGTACGCTCTCTTGACGTCCTCGACGTTGCTCGCTGACCGCGGGCTCCGTCTAATCGACGTGGCAGAGATATTATCGCCGCCGGTACGCCTGCGACTGTCATCCAGCAGCGCGATCCCCGTCGGGACCAGGAGACGACGGCGACGGGATGACGACAATTCACTGACGTAACAATGTGTAACGCCGCAGCGGCAGTGGCGGCGACGCGGACGTACGTACGTAGGTACGTAGGTACCTTCGTTGTGTCGCGATCGTCATCGAGCCGCTGAGACAATGCGTTTCTCCACTTCCCTCTGTCCGTCTCCCACCGCAATGTGTTCTCGCTCCCCGAAGCCAATCTCTAGTCCCGGTATCTATCTCCTCCCTTTTCCTCTATCTCTCTCTCTTTCGTCGCATCCGATGACAACCGCATCCTGTCCGAACGAGCGCTCGCGCGAGCTATCTCCCGGCCCATCTGCTCCTTTCTCCAGGAGGAACCCACCACCATCGCATACGCATCACGTACACCGAGAGGATTTCGGACCGGGCGATCCTCTTCTACCGGTGTGTTCTCTCGTTGGACACGCACGTTCGCACGCACACGACTCGCGACCGGGCGGTAGGTTTCAGTCAGGGGGGGTCGACGAGGACGATGAGGAGAACGACGGCGGCGGCGGCGGCGGCGGCGACCACGACGATGGCCCATGCTAAAGCATCTCGCCGTAGATACGAGACGGGGGGCTATTTATTTCCGTGCTATATGGGCACGCTTAGCTCGGCTTAGCTTATGCTAATGTCCCCATTCTCGGGGAACCACCTCTACCTCCTCCTTTTTGCCCCGCTCGACTTTTTCTACTCTTTCTGCGCCCGAACGCGATCGTCGGACCTCTAGTCCTTTTCTTCCTCGCGTATCCTTGCTGTACTGCTGAGCCTTTCTTCCCTATTCTCCCTTACGACCTAACGTTTAACGCTTAAACGCGCGGGCTCGGCTTATGCGCGAGCTTTTTCTTTTTACATGTAATTATATTTTTATGAGCGTGCGATGCAGCTTGTGCACGTATAATGAATAGATCGGAAAATCATTCTTTGAGTAACTTGAGGTTCAAGTTATTGTGAAAGAGAATAATATGAAAACTGTAGAATACGAGCTTCGATCGATCTCCTTCCTCATTAAATTTTAAATAAAAATGTTGTACAAGTGAAAGTCGACGAGATATTTCTCTACTTACAACTATGGATATTTGACGCTGTCATAAATCCTATTTTTAAGAGATTTTAAACGTCGGGTTTGAAAGGACTTCAAGTATTCGCTTTTAATTTATCGGTGACGCGAGCGCGCGCGCATAAATTAGGAATAAATATTAATTAATTAACTTCCGGTACCATGTCGTAATACATCATCGTATGTTAATAAAGCCAACGACCGACTCGAGATAGGCTTATTACTCGTTAGTTAAGGGGTTGAAGGGCCACTATTGCGAAGGTTAAAAAGCGAGTGGGCCAGGACACATCATCTTGTTCAATTTAACATAATAGGTGGCAGAAGCGTGGAAGCGGTTTGTAATCCAGTGAACGAATTCGCTTGAAATGAAAAGCAGAATGAACGTTCGTGGCTATTACGGTAATCGAGGTGTGTCACTTTAGAGAAACGCAAAAGTAACGAATGCGAAATGCATTATTAATTACACCGAGGCTGGTACGCCGCTTTAAGATTGCATTACGAGATAATGAACGATCGCCGTTTAAACTTTTGCTCCGTTCGTTTCACATAAATAAGAGCGTTTGTTAATTAGCGTTCGATAGCTAGTCCGAACGTGAGAAAGCTCTAATGTCGCGATAACGATTATCCCAACCGGTCTGAATATGCAGATTGCTATTACCAGAAAACGTACGTAATGTAACACTTTATTATGCCGAGCCATTTAAATCATCTCGCGACTCGCCGCTGTTTCGTAATTGAATTGTTTTTGTCGAGCAGAAGAACTTGCACTGCAAAAGCCAAGTGATTAATATAACAATCACAATAAAATCGAGCATAATCCCGCAGCGGATTCTTCATTCAGCGTATCTCTCTATTTATTAGTTTGTCATCCTTATAATCATATCGGTGATTGCGTGACTACGATTACTTTCTATTTATTAAAGAGGCAAATAATGAAGGAAAGAAACTGTTCTCTAGCTTCTTCGTGTTAAGCTTCTCATGTTAATTAAGATATTTATTTATCGACTCAACCTTATTGTAGGAGATGTAAGAGCCAAGGCGGATGTTAGTGTCGAATTGCGAAAAATTTACAATCCTGGCTGAGAATAAATTAAAAAATTACAATCATCTAGACACCAACATCCGTCGTGGCTCTTCTATCCTTTGTTACTTCGTATCTGTGATTTCACATCAGAGCCTTATGAATTTTATTTGTTTTTATTGTAAAAGTTCCGTCAGCCAAATGTAGTTTCGATAATGGTAGCTGCAGCGCAATCGTACGTGTGCCTCTCGTATTCCAATATCCATTGTATTGTAATACATGTGTTTAGCGTCGCTTCGGGAAGACTCCGCGCGATTACGGTACGTTACGTGTCGCGTGTAATTGACGTGAAATTAGCGTGTCCGGCGGCGCGAGCGCGGATAAATTTCTTTCCGCTTCCTTTCTCTCTCTTTCTCCCGCGGCGGCAACTCCCCGTGAGGCGGAGGGTTGCGACTTTTTTTACGCGCACCCCGTTGGCCGTCGGACCACGTGTCTAATTGTTCGGATAAAACGCGGAACGAGGGCACGGTGCATAAAGTACGTTTAGCTCGCTAAGATCGGCCGCCTCTCAGCTTTCTCCGCTCTTGTGTATGCACGAGATATTGCATACCCGGTGGTCGAAAACATTCGAGAGCGCGCCGCCGCTTGAATAATCGTCGCCCGAGATCATTACGTCCTCGACGTCGATACATCGGCCGTAATTGTACGGGAAAAGGCGCTCGCCCGCGCCACGATAGCTCTTTCTCTCTCTTAGCTGGAGAGACCTTTAATTGCAACAACAACCGGGCGCTGCCATTTATCCCGCGGTCAGTAATGTTTCCCGGGGATCTCGCGATCGATTTCGCGACGGCTATTCCGCGTCGCGTTGCAAAATCGAGTGCGAAGAGAGGGCCGAGGCTGGTACCCATTCCGGCTCGGAAGCCAATTTATTTCTCCATAGCAAATTCTTCCGGACAAAATGTATAAACAATAAAATTCATAAGGCTCTGACGTGAAATCACAATTCGAAGGAATAAAGGATACAAGAACCAGGACAGGATGTTAGTGTCTAAATGATTTTAATTTTTTAATTTATTGCGAAAAATTTACCTCAGCCAGAGTATGAACCTGGACCTTCCTTTCACTAAGGCGAGCCGAAGTAAATTTCGCGCAATGAATTAAAAAATTCCAATTATTTAGACACTAATATCCTGTCCTGGCTTTTGTATCCTTTATTCCTTGGAATTGTAAAATGTATAACTTTAATTTACCGTGAAAAATAATTCTACAGACAAAATTATATATATTCTTCCCTGCTGCTCATCGCGAGCTTCGTTCTCTCGTCTCCTCGCACCCTTGACTCGCGCGAGAAGTCCCGTCGCGAAGAAAAACGCGTGACACGCGCACGAATCGTTATCAGCCCCGTGTCCCGCTCGAGATTAGGATGGTCCGATTCGCCTCGAAGTCCATGCCTCGCTCCGAGCGCGGATAAGATCGGCCGCGCGTTATCTCGGCGCGCGCCGCGCCGAGCCACCCCGTAGAGGCGGTCATGTAAATGCGCGCGGCGCGGATATATTTATGCGAGAGAGGGTATTACCGGAGCCCCGCGCGAGCGAGTGTGCGGGTACCTACGTGTATCTTGATGGGAAACACTCCCACGATTATGTGGCATGCAATGCAATTCCCTCTACCTCCGCCTTGCCCAACAGCGAGCATCGCGCGAGCGGGCCTGACGAGCGGACGGGCGTGTTGCTGGTGCGCCGCCGTTGCGTTTCTGCGCGCGCGGATGCCACCGGTATTTAACGATCTAATTAAGAACGTAAGCCGAACGAGGGACAGCCGACGTCGGCCTCCACGGGAGGAGAGGGGAAGAGAGAGGGAGAAAGATGTAGATCTCGCGGCATCGCCGCGCGGCGCC